GAGAAAACCTGTGTTTATAAATCAGCCATAAAATTGTATGTACTCACCAACAGAAGATAATAAATTGTGTGATAACTGATAATGTAACATTTATAGAATGTTTAATTAAAGAAAGGTTATGTAGAATAAGTTTCTGAAATACTGAGAGCTAATTACACGCGTAAACTGATTATACGTATAAAGTGATAGGTACATTTTGACGAAACGCTTGTTCAACATTTTTTATGTGGCGTGCCAAATTTGGAAATTCAACAACTTTATGTACCTGTATATTTTAAAGGGGCGGATTTATTGGTCATCGCTTGGAATGCAAAATCTTTCTGATCTTTGACCGAATATGCATTTCTATTTTTTGTCGAAATTATTGCACATATGTATTACAGACAGATCTACTGTCTTCTAAAGTGGGACAGGAAAATTAAATGTTATAATTCTAATATTAGCATGGCAACTATTTGAAAATTCTAAAAAAATATAAACTTGAAACTCATTGAGTAACTCCAGTGCTTTCACATATTTGTAAAAAATATTTTAAATAACGTGCATGTTGTGTTTACTGAAACAAATAAATAGCTTGACTTACAACAACTGTCTTAAATACCTGACACCTGACAAATTTGGTAGTTGTTATTCTTTACGTATTTGTTTGTAAATATGTTAAGTAGATAAAAAACAAATACACAAAAAAATATGGATACAAGTTCTCTAAATTCTTTGGTCAAATGAAATAGTCTCATACCTACAATAAATAAAAATAGGAACATGAAAATAAAATATGTGCATACAATCTGAATGATTAATGACTGTCGATATGAGTTCAATAAATGTATGCTTTTTAGTTATAATTTTGTAATATTGTATAATTCCTTATGTCATGGGTTTTCTACTCTGCAAGAAATGTTCATGAGGAACTTGTTCTGCATATCGCTTGACTTAAATAAATTTCCTTCCTAGTATTGTAGTTAATATAGAAATATCCGTTGGATCGTGGAAGCAACAGATATATTATTTGATGTTAGAATGAGCAACATTATTAATTTAAATATTTGGATTAACTTCTTTACTCAGCAGTTAACATGCTCTGCAAAACTAAAGGTAAAAATCCTGCATTATTTCTTGCTTCAACTTATATTATTAAATCGTCAAAAATGTTTAAAACTTGAATGCATGATCAACGCATGAAATAAGTTTTCCTTCCTTTCACAGTTGCTAATAAAGGCAGCATTATTAGAATTTAGGATATTATGATATTCTTTAAGTTTTGCTCGGTTACTAACAATTCAATTGGTAAAATATCACATGTTGTTATTAATTTTTTTGGTAATATAGGCCATACAACCAATCCCAATAATCGATGCATTATTGAGATTTGTTTTTAAATTGAAAAAATATTGTTAACTCTTAATCTAGACACACCACCGAAGATGGTATTGGTATTATCAGCACAATAATGACGACGAAAAATCGGAACAAATCGCGACAGAAATTCTGAAGGGGACAACAAGCAAACAACCTAAACTTGTCCCGCTTGAATCGGGACAGTTGGTTACCATATGTTATAAATATAAGTATCTATATCATAAAGACAGAATAGATGTAGTAAGTGTGATTTATCCTTGCGCATCGAATTTTAGGTTTTCAGGCCGCAAAATCATCCCTTTGTACATTTATCGTGTGCTTGCTTCGGATACCACACTTTATGCTTTATGGAAGAACCATTGATGACCCGGTGCAAAAACTGTGTTTAGTACAACCATTTTCTATCCTCCCATCATATCTCCGTGATGCAATAATTTTAAAAGTATTAACTGGAATGCAAAAAAAACCCTTAAAGATGAATGTGTATATACTGAAAATGTTTCATAGTTTGTAATAGTTATAATTTATGCATCAAGGGAATAAACTGCCACATTAATCCTGAGACCGTAAGTCTCTTCAGTCGAGGGATTTAAGAAAGTTTATTCCAGAGATGCATACAAACCTTTCCTCCCAAATTAACAATAAATTACAAACGAAAATGACGATTGCACGTTACTGATACATTTAAATAAAGTGGGCTGACAGTTATCAAAGAAACGAGATGAAAACGAGTTTGTTATGCGTTAAAAAAAACACTCGAAATATATATTCAAATGTAGTTAATTTTATGAATAAAATCATTCAAAAATTGAAACAATGAACATTGGACAAGAGTTTGATATACCTTTGGCCATTACTGCAAGAGCTAAAGATGTAACGTCCAATTTGCTTTCGGAGAAATCGAAAATTGTGCATAAAATTTGGTATTTCACTTAAATTGTTCTTACTGTGTTTTCTAGGGAATAAAGTACCACTTTATTATCAAAAACGGGGATATAAAGTCCCATTTTAATCCGGGTTGGGAGGAAAATGAATTATGAAGTTGGTGGTAGTATTTTGTACAAGAGAATTTACTGTAACAACTGTTCGTTAGAAATCTTGAGTTTTTTGTTTATTATGCCTATGTAAACTGGTTTGTGCTTATTTATAGTTCGAAATTGCATGTAGAATTACATATGAGGTATTTAATTTTAATAATCACTTTCACATTATCTAGGTAACACAAAGTATGCATTTATTTACATAGACGTCCCACGTCTCTGCAGCGTCCCATAATATGCATTAAAATATAACATTTATAACATTGTATAATGCAAGAATGAAAAAATTTAAGAAACATCAATAACAAACTTTCCACGATATTTATAGCTTTTGAAGCGTAGTTTACGTTTTTCGGTAGGTAAGGAAATAACATAAATTCAGAAAATAAACGAATCGGGGTAAAAAATAGCCAGAGTTCGACATTACTAGACATTGAAAGCTTACTACCTTAATAAATATTTTGTAATCAGAATAATTATTATATTTAGGGCATAATAAGTAGAATGAATGATTCATGTAAATAATATCTACAGTCAATTAATTAATAACATGCTGATATATGAAATATTTTCTTATTAAGAAGTCCTTCAAAAGTGCGTGAATAATAAAGAAAATTAAACCATTTATTAACTTACCTCTTGAAGTGCATATTTCGTAATAGTAACTTATCTATAAATAACAATGTCTTTGACAAGGGCAAATTTACTGAGTAAAAACTCGCGCTGATTGTATTACATAAAATATATTTCGCCGTCCGGATAATGAACTTTCTGTAGCATTTTTAACATACCTTTCAATTAATAATAATAATTTACACTGTTTAAACTGATTAAAGAAAGTTGCTTATATGCTTAATGTGATATTTTATTTATTGAAATACGAGCTGTCGTATATTGCCATTTCTTTATAGCACTTTATAAAAAATGTCCCTTAATTTTTTTACTAGAAAAACGACTTTCACTAAGTTACACGGGTTTAAAAAAATGTTTTAACATAATTATTTTCGTAGTTAAAATTCTATTACTCCGCAGTTTTTTTGCACATTTTCTTATCTATCGTTGCGTGGTGTTAGAATTAAAAGTTATTGTTATACATATATAGATGAAAGTTTTATTAACTTTTAGCGATCCTTATATTTTATGCTGATTTTAACATAGTGTGTGGGATTTTAGTACAGCCAGCAGTGAAAGGTATGTTATTAGGAAAATACGCACGTCATACGAGCCACCGGAAAAAATATAATTAGTCAGCTGAAATAGCGTTAATTTGAAATTTTTGCAAGTAGTAATGATAGACAAAATGTGTATTAATTAATTTGTGTGGACCGCCATAAATTTACTTTTATTATTATTGTGTTGCTTTTAATCTTTATGCTACATACCCACATGCGGTTATGTTGTCTGTGAACATATTTGTTATTTAATTATAAAACTAACAATCTAAATAGATACAAGTTTAGTCACGGAATTATGTTTATATTATATAACTATATTTATATTCGAACATGTGCTAATAAGGTTTTCTGTCTCATACATTTTTTGACAGTTTGACTGGAAAGATAAATATGTTATATTATTCCGTGGCTCAAAGAGTTCTAACGCTGGTGTATCTCGAATTTTACCGTTGCTTAAATCGTGACAAAATTTAAGTTCTGGTTTAGTTTTGCATATGCATGGCATTACGGGAAATAAAGGTTCATGGCATCATCTCAATCAATTATTAAGTAAATATTTTCATACAAATGATCGAAAAAAGTATTCCGAGTGGGCCATGAAATTTATTTTTAAAATAACCATATTGGCATCCCGGCTATTTGACAGTTTATTTGACAGTTAATTGACCGTAACTGTCAAATTAAATAATAAATTCATCGGACCCAGGACAATACAATTCTTCTAGAAGAATCAACTTATTACTAAATTCAGGGTTATCACATATAAATAAATATAAATAAAATAATAATAATAAAAAGCGATGCATTACCTCAAAATCTGATATACCTACCTATCTAGCATAAAGTTTAGAGTAGTTCCCTTAAGGGAATTTCTATTACTTCTCAGATATGTACAGACTTTTTACTCCAATCTGTTTTCTCTTCAATATGCCACTGACTTTGATAACTTGCAGAAGATATGCACCATTATTTTGAAATACTTGCTTTAGTAAGCTTTACACAACATGTAGCTGTAGATATGTTAAATGTGTGTTTGTATTAGTAATATTAGTCCGGCAAACGATCTAACACCAGCATACGCAGTTATGTTATCAACTTATTAATAATTAAGGAAGTAAAAGATGTCGATATAGTTTTAGTAGTCTGGTAACTAATTTTCCAAAAAACTAAACATCGAATCAATGTGCGTTTTATGGCTTACCAAACGTGTACACCTAGTTGACATTTTTTTCATTTTTAATTATTATTTATTAATTGCAATCTTTGGAAATTCAGAAGTAACTATATTACCTTTCATACAATGACATTACCGTATTCAATAATTTAACGTTGACGAAAATAAGAACAACTTAAATACTTGCATATGATACACATTCACTAGGCAAGAGGCTTGTGGAATCGAATCTCTAAACAGTTATAATTTCAGATGATGCTAAAAGATTTCCTCGGATTACTTTTTCTCTGCATAGTTGGATCCGAACCCAAGGGCGCTCATTACAGTATATTTCTTGAGCACACACCAAATTGGCATAGACCGTTCGGACCGTACCCCTCTCAAGTAGGACCTGTTTTGCCGCAAGTACCAAGTTTTGGAAGTTTTAGGTAAATTTTCAATTAGTTACAAATTTGAGTAAATTAACTCATGCTTAAATGTTAGCAATTATTTACCACCTACACAAACTCCACAAACAACAACACCTGATCCGTCAACACTGGGATGTGGAACTCCTCCTGCAAGTTGTCTCAAGACTCCATACCGTTCATATGACGGATCATGTAACAATTTAAGAAATCCAGTTTTGGGTACGCCTCAAACACGTTACGCCAGATTGTTACCTCCAAATTATGGAGACAGTAAGAGAAAAGTACGAGTTTTTATGTTTGGATATATTATTCTTTTTGTGTAGAAGTAAGCACGCCGACGATGTCTCAGACTGGAAAACCCTTACCAGGGGCTCGTATTGTTAGTCTGTTAATTTATCCAGATGTGCAGATTGAAGATCCGAAATTTACATTAAATGCTATGCAATATGGGCAAATTATAACTCACGATATGAGTATGATTGCAGGAAGTACTCAAGCGCGTAAGTTAAAGAAAACAACTATTCGCTCTTTTGAAAGAAACTGTGACCATATTGTTACGAAAACTATTTTACAGAACCCCATCAGACTAGATGTTGTACTAATGACGGACAGTTGCTCGAATTTGCCAACATTCCAGAGCACTGTTTCCCCATCCTCTTGCCCAACGATGACCCCGCTCACTCTCAAACGAACGCTAAATGCATGAATTTTGTAAGAACTATTACCGACCGTGATCGTAATTGCGTCGGGGGCTATCAGCCTGCGGAACAGGTGATTTACGACAATTTAATGTTCTAACACATGATCATGATGTTTGTCTTACAGCTTACAGCAGTAAATCACTATCTCGATTTATCAATAGTCTACGGCAACAATGATCAAGTTAATCAGCAAGTGAGACAGTTCCAGGGAGGAAGACTGAGGGTTGATTTCAGAGGAGGACAACAGTGGCCACCGAGAAGTAACAATGCTTCTGGAGTATGTTCGATCAGAAGTCCCCAAGAAGCTTGTTATTTAGCAGGTACGCTCGGCTGAAAATATCAGACGAAACAAAATTTAGTTAAATTGATTTTTCGTAATATTTCCTCAGATTTATATCTAACTATCGGTTCGAATAAGTATAATTTTTGTAAAATTACACGCAAACTTATTCATGTCATAACATAACTTGGTGTGTGCAGTGTGCTTGTCAAATACTTCTAAATCTTTATTGACAAATATGTCGTTAGATTAGATATAGGATATAGCAGACACAATAGTAATGATTTTTGTTAGTATTATTACTGAAAGTTTACTCCCAAGTCTAAAATACATACATATTTACAAAGCGCAGTGATTAAATACATACACTGCTCTTTTTTAAAAGTGGCCATAGGGATCCCCATGTTAAATTTTACACCCCGTTTGTTGAGTAAAGATTCAGAGTTGAAATTTTTACTGGATATAATATGGGTCATCTTTTGTCCATTTTATTAAAGGTCACGCTTAAAATTAAAGGATATTTCTTAAAAAAATTAAAATATTTGGATATTTTTGTCTGTAATATTGTAGGCAGCCATGTAAACACAGACATTTACCTGCCGTTTCTAAAATTTCATTACTCGTTCGACTCGTTCGAACTGGTTTTTAGTGACATTACTGGTTTTTTGTGACCGAAATTTGTCAATATGCCGCAGCACACAATTAAAGAAAAAGTGGAAATGCCTACTGATGGATACATTAAAGGCTTTTCGACAACAGAAAAATTGCATATCGTTCTATACCGGCAAGAGCACAATTTAAAAATTTTATGGCAGCTTTATAAACATAGGTTTTCTCGATCGCAGACATCCAAAAGGCAATTTCAGTGAAATTTTCTTTTATTTCCTTCATTTATGTTTGAATTCCATCATTCTGTTTCTTTTCTAACAACTGCAATAAAGGTATTTTTCTCCAAACGTCATTAAACCGTGACATTAATCAACTCAATCAACCTGTCTAAAGTCTGACATTTCAGCCGTCACCGGCCAGCGGCTTTAAAATACTTTTTTGTACGACCATTGCTTTTTCGATCATTTACCGTATAGGTTTCCATAGCAGTAAGTTCAGTTTACGGGTTGCTACGACTAACAACTAAAAGGCGAACGGTAAGTAAATTACTTACTGTTCAGCTGAACGGTAAATAATCATGCATTCAAGATTTTTTTTATTTTAAATTCTATGCGTGTTCGACTTCGACATTTTTGCTTCCAGAATCACTCATGATTGAGATTTTAAGCAAATAAATCACTCACTAATACTCGCGGAAAGACTTTGTTGATGTTTGATATAAATTCTTTCAATTTATGAATTTGATAAAAAGACGCAAATCTTTTGATGGTCGCACAAAAAATAGTATAAGCATCACGAACGTTAAGGGGGTTTACTGGTCTCAGACAAATTGGAGACGTCGCTTCGCTCCGTCTCCAAACTTTTGCCTTCGACCAGTTACCGTTCTTAATACTTAATATACTATAATGTCGCTCACGAGCGGAGTTAAAATAAAAAGCTGTCAAATTATAATTATTATTTGCAAGCAATTTCGTAGACTGCTCTCGATTTTGGGGGTTTAAGATTCTCTGTGGCTGCTGCAGCGGCTTTTGCAACGTCGGGTGGAGTAAATTGATTTACAACTCAATCATACTAAACAATTCTGTAGCAAATATTTCTCTTTTAATGAGAAAATATCTGGTTAACCGAGCTTCACTCGGCTCGTTTGGTAGTATTAGATCAGATTAGGACAGATAAATATGCGTATAAGGAATTCACGTTCGGTAGATGTAACTAGATTTGGTAACTTTTTTTTAAGCTGTGTAACTGCGGACATAATTGTTCTAGTGTATAATGTATAACTGGAATGTCAGAAAGTAGGTATCAAAAATGTGATGGTTTTGTGGTAATTTGCTGAATCTATTTTTGAATCAAGGAGAAAATCGCATCCCTCTAAAAGCCCAAAGAGGAACCCGCATGTAAAATTGTGAATCTTTTCCCTTCACAAGTTATTTTAGGAGGACAAGGTTTGATGTCATCATCATGGATCCACAATTTTACCATCGATCCGTTTTGGTATATCCATGTCTCATCCAAGAAAATGAAAAGTAAATCTTCACTACTATCGCGCAATTCGAGATACCGCCTTAGAAATTTGATTCTGGTAGCTATAACGTGTTTAAAATGTGAAAAAATTCGCCTTCGGAAGCCTAAATTTATACGTGTATTACATACAGTTAATTATTCTCAAAACCGAGTGTTTTCCCTCTTACAAAACAATAACGATTATATAAAACTTAAAAACCAATTGTAGAGCGGAACCAACAAAGCATGTAGGTATATAAATCTGCGCAGTCGTCTTTCTAATTCTGATTATAATATTAACGGCACTGGCGCCGTTGTATCGGTATTATTTTAAAATTCGAAAAACACTCGACAACACCAGCGAACTTTACGGAAAATTATTTCTGCTACCAGTTTAACTGTTTCCGTTTTACCCAAGCCTTGTCCATTTTTCTCTGTAATTTTTTGATAAACACGAAATATTTCTTGTCTCTTTTCCTTTAAAATGGGCTTTCTTGTGACTTTATTTTTGTGGGAAATTGTTTCCACGCTGTATTTAAGGATTTTCTTGAAACGAAGCGTGTTGAAATTAGAAAAACTTTGTTTTTTTCCACACAATTCAGATTTGACATTTGAATTAGAAAATCAGACAGCTGATGCCAATTTTTAATTTCTAATGATCTTAAGATTGCAACTTAACCACAGAAAAAATTCTGTCAGCTACTTTTACCGAACGTAAATGCTCAAGATATAGTATGCATTTTGAAGTACACGCACTAATTAAAAATACACATTAAAAAAGAAATTCCATAAGCAGTCTTTGTTTTAAACACTGATACTGATGTAGAGATTAAAGAATAGAAAACTGGAATTATTGTTTGACATTTATTACAATGTTATTTACTATTGTCTATGCCATTTCTATTGAAACACCACCTGTTGATTTTGCTCAAAATTTAGCAATTGGTAACAGCTTTCGGTTGATTGACAACGGCTTTTAATTCGAAAATTGTCTGAATATGAACGTTGCCAAATTTACGATTAACAAGTGGTGTTTCAATAGAAATGGCAAAGACTATACTCAAGTTCTCTCTCTGTGTCGTTCTCTTTTTTTTTCCTAGTTCTCTCTGTCTCGTCTCTATAAAAAGGTCACAACCACATTCTTACTCCCAGAAGAGTTTCGCCTCTGGTATGGTTAACGTACCGTGTTCTTTTGCGTCATTCCTAATTTCTCTTCTCAACCCTGCTCCTGAAGATGCCACTTACGAAAGTGTGCGAAACGTTGACCCCGAAAACTTAAATAACACGGTCCCAACCCGGAAAACGATCATATATTGACTCCGACCGTGGAAGCCTCTGAAATGAATGCTTGACAATATAACTTCAATTCAATGCACTTTCGTGTGCCTTTTATCCGCTCACTGTTTAGTTTTCCGTAAATTTTCTCACCTCAGAAGGTGAATTTTAACGTCCTCTGTACAGTGGAGTATGTTTCGCTACGTACAGTTGAAGATAAAAAGGTACATCCATCAAACGTACTGTCAAACTGTCATCCAAACTTATCTAAAACAAAACAATCTCGTGTTCGTGTAGTGTTATCTGATGTTTCCAAGCAACAAATATAGTTCACTGCCTGAAAATTGCTGAAAATGTATGAAGCTGCAATTTTCAGAAGTTAAAACTATGATGAATCGATTTCTTGACCCAAAAAACCCCCAACCTGTAAATTTCATCGAAATCGTTAGAGCCGTTTTCGAGAAACCCATTATATATATATATATGTATATACAAACTTTGCTCGTTTAATAGTATAAGATAATAAATAAATTAAGCGATATTTACGGGCAACCTGTTTTTTGAAATTTTGTTGTTGACAATGAAACCATAGTAACAGTTAACTTAATTCATTCATTTAAAAAAATTGATAATTCCATTTTTTTAAATTACTTCTTTAATTTAATTGCAGACGTTTGAAGAAAAAATTGTATATTTTATTCGGAGAAAAGTGACTTTTGCTCCTTATAAAATAATATACTATTAATGGCTAAATTAAAATTATGCTGTCAAAAATGACAAATTAAAGTGATAAGTCAAAACCACGTGGTGTCAAAATCCATGATGTACCAAAATTTTTTAATCAAAATAATTTTAATTTTTTAAAGCACAAATTAATAATTTGCTGCAAAAAGTGGTAGTGGAAATTAAAGTATAACCCTAAGGTTATTCTCACCGACAATCCAACTCGAAAATTCTTAACCAATAAAGTGGAAGAATTGTTTGAAATTTGTCCAATGGCATTCACCGAAAAATTTTTTCAGTGAAAAAACATCCTTCTGTTAGAGAACAACACTGTTTTTCAGAGAAAAAAATTATGTCAAATTAATTAGTCAAACTTGTCAAATGAATTTTAATAAAAAAATGATAATGAAACATACAAAATTACATTTTTAACTGAAATTACTGATTACTGATTAGAATAATAACAATTAAAGGTACAATTGTTATAAATCTTATTTTCCTTTCGATCTTCTTTTTTCTCGATGATTTTATTGCCACTTTCGACAGCTGTAATATCTTGTCTAAATGTTGTTACAATTTTATTGTGGTGAGAACTGTCTAGCTGCAAATAAGGACGGATAGATCCTGCCGAAGAGTGTCCTGTAATTGTTATTAATTGCTGTTCGCCAATTCCAGCTTTTGCAAGTTGACGAGCGTGCAGAGTGATTTGTGACTTTTTGGCGTTTTGTATCCAGTCCCACTTTTTCAGCACTAGTTTTAAGCCATTTACTGAATTCGTTTACACCAACTGGTGAATTTTTTTACCAAGACTATTTCTTCAATGAAAGATTTTCTGTCAAAAATAAACGATCCGTTTTAATGATCTTGCCTCTCCCTACCAACAGCCTCTAAAAGTCTAAAAAGGATACTTCTAGAAAAATAAAATAAAAA